AGAGGCCTTTTCATCCCACCATAAATGCCACGTCATCCTCTGGGGTCGAAATGCCTCAACCAACGAGAAGGGGCTCAGTGGGATGGATGTCAGCAAGGGCGAGATCTATGGTTGGGCAATTTGGATGTGGAGATGGCAAAGTCAGTCATTTGCTCCTGGCCAAGACAAGTCTCGTTTTGTATTATTGAGCTTCATACGTCGCGACATTCTGGGGTATAGCAATGCTATGCTCGTCTATGGTGTTGAGAATCACACATCTCTTTTGAAAAAAGGTAAGGAAAGAAGAAAATAGAAAGGAAGAAAAGAGGACTAATCGACACAGTGCGTTGATGAATAAAAAGATGACATGGAAGAACAACTCGCACAGAGATACGAAGGTGATATAACGAAGGGTTTTGGAGGGGCAAGAAGGGAGGGAGGCGATTACGCGACACCCTTGGAAGCGCTCTTGGAAATGAGCTTGGCCTTCTCGATCTGGTGCTGACCTGTTTACGACGATAAGCTGGGGTCCTACACAGAGATTGGGAAAGCGACGTACTTCGCTTGGCAAGAGCCTTCTTGTAGTCGACGATGGAAATGTCCTGCTTAGTGAGGTTGATGACCTTGTGGTCCTTGACCTCCCAAAGCTCCTCGGCGACCTGAGAGATGAGTCGGAAATCGTGCGAAACGATCACGACACCACCCTCAAACTCCTTGATGGCCTTGGCAAGCGCATCGATAGATTCCTAGTACGAGTCAGCAAAGCCCGATGACCAACAAAATGACGACTCACCATATCCAAGTGGTTAGTAGGCTCATCGAGCAAGATAATGTGGGGGTGCTCCATGGCAAGAATGGCAAACACGACTCGGTTCTTGAGACCATCAGACAACTGCTTGATGGGGTTGGTCTGGTGGGCACCAGTGATACCGAATCGGCCAATCTGCTGCCTCCAGAACTGAATGTCCTTGTCGGGGAACTTGTCAGAGTAGAGGGAAGCAATGTGCTCGACGGGGGACTTGTCGTAAGGCAGCTGGTCGGCAGAGTGCTGAGAGTACTTGGCGAGTTTGAGCTGGGTGTGTCGGTTGACGGTACCTTCGACGGGCTGCAGGGCGCCGGTGATAAGGTTGAGAAGGGTGGATTTACCGGTACCGTTGTCACCGACGATAGCCACTCTGCTCAACGTCAGTCAAAGTCATCTTGCAAGAACAAGCGACATACCGAGAGTCCATGTCGACACCGAAAGACAAGTCCTCGTAGAGGTAGTCCTTCTTGTCACCAGAGTAAGAGAAGGCAACGTCAGAGAAGGCAACGATGGGGGGAGGGAGCCGCCTAATGTCCTCAAAGTTGAACCGGAGCTGTCGGGGAGCCTCGACCTTTTCAATCAAACCAGCAGCCTCCATCTTGTCGATGATCTTCTGCTTGGACTTGGCCTGCTTGACCAAGTTGGCGTAGGTACCGGCGGAAGAGATGAACTCTGCGAGATGTTAGCCAAGCCCGTACAAGTGACCGGCGGACGCACTCTTGATGTGAGCAATTTCTTCCTGCTGCTTGACGTAGGCCTTCATCTGGTTGACCTCGTTTTCACTCTTGGTCCTGACGTAAGTGGTGTAGTTACCACCATAGTACTCAAGCCTCCTCTTGGGGGTCAAGTCCATAATGTTGGTACAGACAGTGTCCATAAAGTCGGCAGAGTGGGAAGTGAAGACCTAAAAGACATCAGCCGAATCGCAAAAAAGACAGGCAAAACTCACAAGGATGTGGTTGTAGGTGGAAAGGTAAGCCTCGAGCCACACGACGGCACCCAAGTCCAAATGGGAAGTAGGCTCATCGAGCAACAAGAGGTGAGGCTTGATGAACAAGGCTCGGGCAAGGGCGACACGCATTCTCCAACCACCAGACATGTCCTTGGTGGGCTTGGCCATCATGGCCTGGGTGAAACCGAGACCGTTCAAGATGGCACCGGCCTTGGCCTCAAAGGTGGAAGGGTCCATCTCCTCGAGCTCCTCGTAGATGGCCTCGAGACCGAGCTCATCAATCTCATCGGCGGTAGACATGTCCTCAGCAAGCTTCTCGAGACGCTCGACCTTTTCACGGGCAGAAGCGACGATGTAGTCGAGAGCGTTGACGTCGGAAGGCTCGACGGCACCAGAGACAAGGTAGATCTGTGTACATGTCAGTCATTATCCCCTTCCTGCTGTGAATCAGCACTTACGTCAATGTGCTCGGGAATGTCGACATCACGGTTGGCGATAGACTCGAGGAAGGTGGACTTTCCGGAACCGTTTTCACCCAAAAGACCGTATCGCTGGCCATAGTTCAAAGCGACCTCGGCACCCTCAATCAAAAGACGACCGTGAAAAGAAAGGGTGAATTGGTCGATCTTGATGTCTCGGCCCTTGACGTCGGAAACGAGGACACCGCTGGCACCTCGGTCGGTGGCGGCCTGGAGCTTGGCCATCTCGTCAGTGACGCCCTCGACGCTGGTGACGGGAGTGCTGGCGCCGGTGGAGGACTTGGAGGAGGCGGTGCCCTTTTCGGCGGCCTTGGCGGCCTTGTCTGCGAGACGCTTCTGCTTGGAGGCGGAGGGGGCCATGTTGAATGATGTGAAGAAGAGAAAAGAACTAAGCAACGACAAAGGATTAGCCCTCTGCGCGCACAATGAACATTTTTTGATACGCCACTAGAATTTAATTAGGTGAGCTGTTAATAAGTTCTGACGTCAATTCGTTTGATCCCGCTCAGCTCGCTATTTGGCTCCTCCTGAAGCAAGTTTCAGGCCTGCATTGTGGATTCGTGACAGTCTGGCCATGTCTATATCACCAGAACAAGTTTCCCAGATCCTCTCGCATCTTCAACTCCCGCCGTCGGATACACTTCCATCACCGCCCCTCGATTTTCTTGCCAAACACATCCAAAGCCTCCCCCCATCGCTCCTCGAGCCCTTCGAGGTCATATCTCCCAAGCAGCGCACCTCAATACCAACCATCAAGCGCCGCCGCCTGATCTACTCTACCACCTCTCCCTTTTCCCTCTCTGCCGCCCAAGGCCGCCTTCGCTGGCCGCTCCTCTGGGAACGTCTGGGCGGCGACCCTTTCGCCGAAACGTCCCATAACGCAGAGGACGAAGCTGCCTGGGCCAACTCTTCCTTCATGCAGGGTACGGTTGGCAACCAGCAAGTGAGAAAGCTGGGTGGGTTTCTGAGATTGATGGAGGAAGACCGAGAGGCGGAGGATGTGAGGGCTGCAAAGAGGATGGAGAGGCGGCTGGATCAAGTGGGAGAAGAGTTTGAGGAGGAGAGTGATGAGGAGGAAGAAGAGGCTGGAGGTGGGGAGTTGAGAGTGAAAGTGGCTGAAGATCAAGGCGAGGTGGAGAGAAAGTTTGAAAAGCGTTTGCTTGAGCTCTTTCTCGATGGCCTAGATGTAAGTCGCGTATAGTGAGGATCGAGCTGACCTCACTCTAGACACTCGATTACTCTCCAATCGACTTTGAAGATCCTCCGGGCGGTGATCCCATAGCCCTAAGAGATGCCGAAGATCGATACTTTGAGGACGAATCTCCCAGCCGGACGCCGAATGGTACGGCCCAAGGCAACTCTAGCCGGTCTGTTCCCGCCAACGCTGATGACAAGAGCGTGCAGAATGGGCAGGGAGAGTATGATTACTAAGTGGACAATAGATAGAGATATACATGTACAAGCAGCACACAATCGGTATTATGAGGAAAGACAACGCTGGGAAACTACAATTCCAATCATACTGACAGATACGATCAACGACTGCACCACAAAACGACTTTCTGCTCCTTCTAATAAGGCAACACCCCATCCAGATACAGCACACGGCCATTGACGCCTGATCGCTCGCCGAGCACTTCGATATCTCCAGGCTTGACCCGCCACCCGCCTTTCGCGCTCGAGTCTTTCTCGAGGTTCACGGAAAAGTCGGGGAGAAGGGTAGCAAGGGGGCCCTCTTGAGGCGTGCCCTGTGTGCATATATCAGCGAGGGTAAAGCGTGGTGGCAAGACGACTGAGGACTTACGTCAATGATGTGTGCACTGATAAACTTGAGTACGGCGTCCTCGGAAGACGAGCCCTCGGAAGGCTGGTGGCTGCAACATTGTATGAGCCATCAACACAAATCGAGTCATTGAGAGCAGCTCACGGTTTCCTAGTCAGAGCCATAATAGCTCGGTCAACGGGGACAAGCACTGTAGAGCTCTTCAACTTGGATTCGAAGCGCTGTGTCTGCCGCCTTATCAGCTCTAGAATACCACAACGCAATGGAAGCTACGCACAATCTCAACGCTATCCCGAGCATAACCCCACCACAGACTCAATGCTTTTTCCGTAGTAAGCACATCCGCCACCGTTGGCCCTTTCCTGCCCGACGTTTGCTCTTCCTGCCCTTGGTCTTGCTGCTTCCCGACTTCCGTTGCCGCCCCCGAATTGAGAACGGCATCCACCAAGTCGCCGCCTACCACTCCCTTCCCTGCGCCCGCTCTTCCCTTTTTGGCATCAGCATCGCCATGGAAAGCAAGCTGACCATCCTCATTCGCAAACGAGCCCAAGGCGTTGTTTGGGTATTCGGGCTGGAGCATGGCAAAGGTGGAGGTGCCGACTGTCGCTAGTAGCAGGAAGCCGGCGGTGAGCGAGCGGAGTTTGAGAGGCAACATATAGATGGAGAGGTATGTTTGACTAGATGTGATTTATAGTCTTTGGTAAAGATGCGATGAATACGCTTTCTGGAGGGCGCACGAACGGTCGAACTACGAGCTCCCGCGTCATGAGCATGACTCGTACAGTCATCAGCATGTCTCCGCCTTTATCAGTCGGTGTATCAGATATTTGTAGATCAATGTGCTTGATCTCATTAAAGGCATTTGCAAGACCCTTGACGCCTCATGCTGCCTCTTGCTGCAAAGTTGAGGACCTGCATAGAGCCAAACACACAATGACAATGATGATCCATACACAAAAAAACTTGCTTATCAGAAGACACCATTTCTCGTTGGACATCATCAGTCGTATGGCTCAGTTGGTTAGAGTGTCCGCTTCACATTTCCCCTTTTATGTAAGGGCGCGGAAGGTCGAGAGTTCGAAACTCTCTACGACTAAAATTTACTTTTTCTTCTCACCCCCTTCTTTTTTCATGCATGGTCAACGGGCTATGGTAAGTAGCCCTGAAGCGTAGCTACTTTTGCCTACCATCAACAAGTTGGTGTCTATTTTTGTTGACGTTATCGGCCTCAGAATATGCCTCTGTGATGGCCGCCGCGCCGAAGTACTCCTCTGCGTCCTGATATCATAACGTGAACTCGTCACATGCTGTCCTTGATCAAGCGCCTTATCGCCTGAATATCGAGCCTTGGCATCTGACACCTTGGACAAATACAATACTCCGCTGCTGACTCGACAGAACGTGGAACTAGGAATCCATAATATCTTGGACAAATCAAATAACGAGTGAATGTTTTACACGTCACTCTGCCCGGGGTCAAATCTGCACTTGGACCATTGTAACGTCTCCCCCGCCCCCCTGGGGGGTGGGTGAAGGGGGTGGGTGAACTTGCTAGTAAAATCCTTCCTAAGACACTTTTACCAAGGGTAGGGTCTTAATCGTCCGTTTTTGAGCTCTCTCTTTCTTCTCTTAATATTTATATCTCGCCTCACATCCCTTCTACAGAAAATCTAAAGGGTTTGTATAAAAGTTCAGCTTCGATCCTTTGTGAGACTATTCCTTTTTTGCGCCTCTGGTGCATTTTTTTACATGCATCCGAACATACCTTCATGTATTCCTGGTTCTTGGCTACATGTACGCACACTGATATAGATAGCAGCACTTGTTTGACGTGAGTCATCGGCGTCGTAAAAACACCAGGCGTGGAGTGTGGACGCGCGCTTTCGCCGCCTTCTCTTTCGTTGTCGCGGCGCCGCATCATCGCTCACTTGTTCACATCTTTCGAAATTCAGACTGCTCCACGTCTTTCACCCTTGCCACTCTTCTCAATATACCCATCAACTGGATATCAAACAGAATCAAGCAAACATGGGTGCCGCCGAATCTTCCATGTTTAACTCCTTGGAGAAGAACTCCAATTGTAAGCCTTTCGTGTCTTGTATGCTGTCTCGATCTGTCACTGACTATACGTCTGTTCGCCTGCCCTCATACTAGTTTCCGGACCGGAACTTATGCGGTTGAAGAAGAGGTTCATGAAGCTGGACAAGGACGGCTCCGGGTCGATCGACAAGGATGAATTCCTCCAGATCCCTCAAATCGCCAACAACCCATTGGCGCACCGGATGATCGCCATCTTTGACGAGGAGTAAGTGTAATATATAATCGATATGTAGCGGGAGACAGCAGTAGCAGGACTGACATGTGAACCATAGTGGAAGTGGAACTGTCGACTTTCAAGAGTTTGTGGGTGGCTTGAGCGCTTTCAGCAGCAAGGGTGGGCGTGATGAGAAGCTGAGGTGTAAGTAGAGCGAATTTTAAAGTGAGAAGGGCTCACAACTATGTCCCTGTTTCCCTGTACCCGATCACTGACGCTTCGCCCACACAGTCGCCTTCAAAGTCTACGACATGGACAGAGATGGGTTCATCTCCAACGGTGAATTATACCTGGTACTGAAGCAAATGGTTGGAAACAATTTGAAGGTACGTCAGCCTCCATGTCTTGGGCTCGACTGACCCTGTGTGCAGGACCAACAACTGCAACAGATTGTGGACAAGACCATCATGGAGGCGGACAAGGACGGGTGAGATCTCCTATTGTCACTAGTCGCTCTGCTGACTTGGTTACAGAGATGGAAAGCTTTCCTTCGAAGAGTTCACCGCGATGGTAGCGAGCACAGACATTGTCAAGTACGTTTCATCACCCTCCATTTACGCTTTGTGACTGACCGACTCTCTCAGGCAAATGACTCTTGAAGATCTCTTCTAGACCATCCACCCATCCATCCTACTTGTCTTCCTCGCCAAAATTATGAGTGTTAACGACGGAGTGTACGATATACCCCCCACAGGTTTCAGATTGTATACAGTATGACGGGATGAATGATATCCCTGGGATCGTCACAAAAGCCGCTGCACGACGTCGATACGACTTTGCACCATCGATCGAGACACCAGTGGCAAGACGCGTCTGATAATGACGGTGCATCAACTACTGAACTCTTACAACTCGAATGTCCCCGTGTATGCTATGCTGACAGTCGCTTCAAAGGACCGATATAAATGTGGGTAAGATGGTGAAATTGTCCTGATTTCGTAAAAGGGGAGGGAAGAAAGAATGTCCAGGGCAAAATGGATATGTGAGAAGGGGTAACAAAAAGTACTAAAGTGTTAGCGGCAAGACTATAGCTAGTGTTATCCCCACTATCAAAAAGAACGGTAAAGATATCACAGAAGCAACACGGCAAGCAAGCACACGGGGGTGAGGATGGTAGATCCAATTTGGTATCCGGGATCGTTTCTCGGTTGTAGTGTGAACGGCAGTGGAGGATGATGGGAGAAGCCATCCACCCACGATCCACAAGAACGGCAGCAGGAAGCCGAGGACAAAGAGGATAGAGGGGGTTTTAGATTTGGAAGAAGGCATAGCTTTCTCGGGGTCATAGTCAGGCTTGACTGGCGTGCCCTCTTCTCCCGCCCCAGCCATCGCTGACGTATCGGGGCAAGAGGAGGGGCCGCAACTTGGGTGTTGGCTCTTCACTCCCGGCACTCGCTCCTCCGCTCCCTCTTCTCCACGCCTCTTCTCTCTCCCCGCCTCTTCTTTCGCAGGCATATTCAGCATATCGGGGAAGGCAAGATGATCCTCCTCCCTCACTGGCGTAGTCGGAGGTATTGACTTTGGGCGTACTTGGAGATGAGACTGTTGGTGTAGAAGGGATTGAGGGGGGAGGGGAAGGGGGCTCTGATTCAGACTCGGGGATCTCGATGGGTACGAGTAGATCACCGATGAACGATAAGAGCCCAAATCCTCTACCCAATCCCCTTCCTCTGTTTCCGACCTGTCCATCTCGTCCCCCAATCCCGCCATTAGCGGCGGCGGTGAGGGCATTTCTTCCCAACCAAGAGCTCCCCCCGACCTCGGTTGAGGGAGGTCGATGGGAGGCGCCAGTTGATGTTGATGTTCGATGTGTTGTGGTAAGGAGGTAATCGAGGGGGTCCAGCAAGCCGGCCGTCGGGAGAGGCTCGAGCATTGATAATCGGTACTCTCTCTTACTCGCGCTGGGGCCGGCAGTGGTAGTTCGCTGTCTAGTGACTGGCGATGGCGCCGACCTGCGGGAGTATTGTAGTAGCTCGTCGGTCTCGATGCGGACAGCGTCAGATCGATGGTCTCTAGCGAGTTGCCCTCTGTGACTGGCGGCTGCGCCTGTCGCGGTGACTGTGCCACGAGGCCGCCGAGAGAGTGGATAGAGCCGTGATGCTTGTATCCCTTCTTTGCCTCCTTGATCTCCACCCCACCTTCCCCTTGCTGAAAATCCGCCCCCATCTCTCCCGCCTCTACTCTGCTCGGCCCCACGCCGTGGTCCGCCATAAGCCAGGTGCCCGAGAAACCCAAGCCGAGGGTTGGCGGCATATCCGGGAAAGAAGATGGGTCCATTTTGGCATTCTTCAATTGAGAAATGTCAGTCTTGACCCTCCTCACAACCCTCTTTGGGGTGACCACAGGCGGCCCCCGCTTTTCCTCACTTTCGTCGCTCAGAAAGCTCTCGCGAACCTCGCAAGGATTACTAACATCCCTACCTCGCTTTGGAGGAATGAAAGACGACGAGGGGAAAGGCTGAGAGGGCGAGTGTGCGCCAAAGAACGCCTCGGCGCTGTACAACGGTGTCTTTAACCATGCCTTTTCGCTCAAGATCTGCGCCCCGCGCTCGACCGCACCTTCTTCGCCCAAGTCGTGAATGCTCGACGCGAGAGAGTATCGGAAAGGTCCAGAAGACCCGCTGCTGATATGTGACGGGACTTCCGAAAAGGGCGTAGGCAGCAGCGAAGGAGGCTCTTCGGCGGGAGTCCAGATGGGCTCGGTAGGTACGACACCAGGGCGTTCGTTCCAAGCCTTGGCAAGCTTGTTGTACAGCGTGGGGTCTTCAACTTCTCTGGAGCCGATACCCTCGAGCTGACGAACAGTATGCGCGATAGCGACGATGCGCTTTCTCCGTTGCTTGGCCTTGTCAGGCGTCCCGAGAACCTCTTCTTTTTCAACCGAATTCTCCCGCGAAGCTCGCGATGGCACATACTGGGCCGCCGTCCTCAGCTCTTCAGTCTCTCCCGAGAATGACGTCGCCCACGAGTAGGAAGAGTTGCGGAACGAGTTCGACGTATTCGCTTCTGACGAGCTTGGTTCTTCCTCATCCGCCGCCGACTCGCCATTGGGTGATTGAAATTCGAGGGCGAGGCCGATATGGGCTTGTCCCGGTGTAACGATTGTGGGATCGGGAGAGTAGGTGTCGGAGAACATGGGAGTGGAGAGGTCGGGCGTGCGTTGTTCGATGTCATATTTGACGGGAGGAGCGAGGCTGTTGGCCGAGGATATTTCACTAGTAGTATACTCGTTGACCCGGACAATATCCATTGGTCGACTTTCAAGCTGCCTCCGCGACAGTAGACTGAGTGGACGTCGGCCGCTAATGAGTTTAATCTGTCAGCATGTCTGAATAACCATCTCCTGTACACATACCTCTGAAGCTCCTGCGCCGGCGACGTCACTCGAGCTGACGGGGTCACAAGCGGTTTGCCTGTCAGTAAACTCAACGGGCGAGGGACACGCCTATTGACATCGTCAGACGATCCACGGTGAGCTTCTGATAATTGTTCGACAGGGTCGAAAGGACTGAAGCAGATCCTGTCAGCAACGACCCCTCATGACGGACGAAACTTGCCTGCTGCGACTCTTTCTCGGCGATGAAATTTCTGCAGCTTCGGCCAGAGTGAAGGGCTTGTCTGCTGACATGCTCAGAGGACGAAGGATCCTCCTGGGCGTCTGTACAGGCGAGACAAATTCCTCCCCCTTGGCCATCATGCTCTCTCTCATAAATCTCCCTATCCTTCTCGCCTCCTCCAGCGCCTCGCGCTCCTTTTCCATAAGCCTCTCCTGCTCATCAGGAT